TTGGCAGATTCTGATATTACTGTAGGAGTGTAGCACGCTGCTATATCAGTAGATCGCTACTGGCAATTGTGGGGACAGACCATTTGCTTCTGGTACCTGTCCGATATGTGGTTGTGATGTGCTTGGTGCTCCCATGTTAAACACAATCGGTTGGTAAAAAGCTCTGAAACGGTAATTTTCAAACTTGGCATCGCGGCCTATGTCATTCATGTTACATCTGCTGAGGATGAAACTGGCGGCTCTGCTAAACCAATTGTTGCGCGCTTGTACTTCTTTTGAGCCTGGGCCTGCCACCAGCTGCTCCCCCGAATCATGGTCGGTATTATCGGGCATGGGGACTGAGGTGGAGACTGGGATGGCGGTAAGAGGATGGAGTCCAAGGTTTAGCGCGAGCGCCCGTCGACTTGTCATGGCAGTGGGAATCCATTCCTAACCTGGGTGTGGCATTATTCCTCAAATGACTAGCTGCGTGCCATAGTTCATACCCTAACCATCGCTCTTCGCCTGAAGCGTAAAGGGAATCATGCCTGCCGCGATCTTCTCGTTGAACGTGCCAAAACTCGAAACTTTGGATCTGGATGTGTACCAGACGGGAGAAGCCTAGTCAGTATTGTTGACTCATTGAAGGCGATCGATATGGTTGTGTATATCATCCTCGATTGAATGATAGAGTTGTGTCAGTGGTTGACGACTCGCATATTTGCTGCGGAGCCTCTTGACGACCACCGTGACAACGCCCCTCGCGCGTCGACGTCTCTGACGGTTCTGACCACAACGCAAATGTACTTCCTCGCCCTTTTCTTCGCCTCCACGTACGTTGGCACGCAAATAAGACGCGTCTGGCATTCTCCACTAAACCGCTTGTTACGAAGGGTCGGTATCAGCAAAAGGAAACCACGAACGTCGGAGAGACGACGATGGCACGATATGCGCTAGGTCGTCGCGTGTACAGTTTCTACGACGTTATATATTCTAACAGTGATTTTGGTTCACTGGAGAACCCATGGGAAAGAGGTAAGCCTGCTTGCAATGCTACTGTGCCACATGTTCTTATTCACGTCATAACAGAATTTCTTAGACGAGATGGACGCAACCATGCCCCGCCTCGGGCTCGCAATGCGCCCAACACCGTTGCGCCTTAGATCACATCCGATAACAACCCCACTCTTCACTGGTCCGCTATATGCCATGTACGGTATTGACATCGTTCTTCATGCGGCAGGGAATCCGTAACTACATCATAGCAAGTCGATCCTGCGGCCTCTTTCCTTCTCGTAGCCAACTGACCCGTCTCTTTGTTGAGCACAGGCGCCAATCACCAAAGAACTCGTGTTCAGAGCCTACATCTTGATCATTTATGATCTCTCTGGAACATCTAGAACAAGAATGATATTTTTTACGCCTCTATCGTTTGGATTACTAGTAGGTCCGTTCCTGATGAGTTAATATTTTTTACGCCTCTATCATTTTCCGACGCTGAAGTGAAACGGAGGATTAACCGGTGCCTTCGTTGGTACGACACAAGGAACATACGGGAAGCTGATTCATCTTCAAAGATCGGCAGGATGCGCTCGTCATTCAGAGATCGCCACATCAACGCTTCTCGACAGAAATCTTATCAAAGCATTTGTTAAAGATAAGCGAACGACGTGCATCGTTATGACGAGTTTTGTATAACAGTTTCAGCACGACGGCTGCTCCCTTGAGCTCCCCCTTGAAAACGGAACAAATCCTCCGGGACCGATGTAGCCATAACCAAGCCTGGCGTTAATCCCTTTGACGAACAAAGAGATTGGTGCGACAGACTTTGTTATCATTTTCAGCATCAACCGCGTCGCTCGGCGGTTCACATCCGGTACTTCGGAATATGACAAATGGTCACTGCAAGCATAGAATCAAGCAAAAGCTCAGTGCCGAATTCATCACTGAGTTGCAGGGCAGCGCTGACATAGTTCTTCGTTGTCAAGAGTGAGAGTGCGATGATTGTCGCTACATTGACGACACAATCGATAGGTGATTCTTGGCTTATCAAGTTTAGCAAGAAGCATATACTATTCAGCTTGCTTATATACCTTTTTCTCTCGTAAAATGGCGAAAAATGGAGAAGTGTTAGACCTGAGTTGAGGGTCTAGCTGTGCTTGGACTTCTGCATTTGCGTATACCTTCAAAAGTAGGATTAAGCTCATACTCTGCATCGTTCGTATTTGATTTACCTTTATATGGACATCCCCCATCTGTATGCTCTTGTCTACTTTATTTGCTACAGCGTCCTCAAGGCTGATTAAATTAGTCTAGCTAATCGAGGAATACCGTGTTATGACGTACCCCATGAGATACACGTCCAGGGTCAAATTGGAGCACGTTTATTCCGCGATGATCCTTGAAAAGAGCATGAATTAATCGATTTGCGAGGACGCTGGTTTTCGATTACGAACTATTGGGGGCACTTCACGGCGAAAACTCTCAATCAAACCCCTGACCAGCGAAAGATCGACGCGTTCGTTGTCCAGCTGTAGCTAAACCACGTATAAGTGAACAATGTTACGAATAGTATGATATCACCTCACCCATAGACGCTCCATGCACAATCCGAGTTTATTGATGGCACCTGGGCTGGAAAGCGTAATCCACGCGATCTTTGTCAAGGAATCGTATCTTTGGCTTCGAGACGTCAAAGAAATAGTATATAATCGGCGATCTGCTATTTGAGATGATTTGCTCTATTGTAACCACATGCGTTCCGCGATAAGCATGGGTTGGACCAAGGGCACGGGTACGCCAGAATTAACCAGTGTGACGACGAAGAGTAGAAGCGTTTGATCGAAGCTGGCATTCAAATTGGGTGAGTCTGGTTTCGAACATAAAAGACTGATAACGTACGCCCCTGGGGTTATCTTCGAAAAGAGGTAAATGGACACATCGAAGATGGGTTCAATGGGGCACACCACGAGCTCGCTGATGTTTGTAATATTGGCGGTCGGAGGGTGGTGGAAAGCAAGGCGCTTTTGCGGACCATTGAGTACTACGTTCAATGGTAAGTCCATACACCCCATTCCAAATGGGCACTGGTGCTTACCGTCATCTCGCTGCGCCTATCCTCGACGTTCACAATGATCGCGTTGGCATTCTTTGCTCCACACAACCAAACACCTGCACAAGGGCAACTTTCAGGAATATACTCGCCTCATATATGCATGTGCTTATACCTGCTAGACCGCTTCGTCATCCGTAACCTGGAAGTTTGTGTCGAAAACCGGGTTGAGAAAGGCATCTAGGTCAGACGTCAACCTCTCCGAATTTATTTCCTGTCCCGTCGAAGCATAGGATCCAAACTCTCCCCGTGTCAGTGGGGAGATTGCTCTGACTCTGAGGGTCTTGAGCTTGTGAGGTGCTTGGTGTCGACTTGCAGGGTGGTCCGTGATAGTGCTGAGCGTTGATCCTCTAAGGTGCTTGCTTCCTCTTGCTACATGAATTTACCATGGTGCGTTGAGTATGGCACGATCGTGACAGAAAAGGAAACGCGCGGTGATCCGAAACTTACCGACAGTTTTCCCGACACTTCCCTTGAAAGGTAACCGGTAACCGTTTCCGAGTCGCCGACCAAACACGCACACATCACATCTCGGACCGCACTGATCTCAGAGTCGCCGCCCAGATAAGCGCTACAAGGTCGTTCGGAAGCTCGGGTGGGGCATGAACTCCAGCGTATGGATGGCGTTTGATGTGAAGTACGTTTTACATGAGAGTCGTACACATTTTATACTCATGACCTCCGCAGGGAAGAGAGATACGTCGCAATCAAAGCTCTGAAAGGATGCTCGACCGATCTGGTTACAAGAGGTATAATGTGGGAGCTCGAGGCCCTGGAGCCCGTGGCTTCCATGCCACCACCCTCTGGCATCGAGCCAACCCACTGCCCTCGACTTCTTGCTAACTTCATACATCCTGGAAAGGATCGGGATGGACTTGTTACAAATGTTATGGGCGGAGACGTTAAATCTCGAGGTCGCTGGTAAAAAAGGTTTACCTTGACCACTGGTTAAGCGTATCCTCTTGCATACCTTGCGGGGTCTCGCGCATATGCTCCACTGTCAGACCGTGCACACGGATCTCAAGCATGACAATATCATGTTTGGCACTGGCTCGATCACACAGGACGATATCGCAATGTTCATCAAGACGAACCCGGCTCGGCGCCACCCTCCTGAAGAGAGCTGGGAATGTGTTGTTCAAGCAGCCGTCTCTCAACCACTCCCTCTTCCTTCGCTCTCTGAGGCTATGACCCGTACCTACATAGTTTCAGATTTCGGCAGCGGTGAGCAATAGCCTGATTTTCCGACTGTGAGGCAGTATTGATGCCTACCATCCTGTAGCGCAACCTTAAGCCTTACACACTACCAATGCGATCACTGCTAACTCCCTTCGCGCCCCGGAAATCATTCTTCAGGGCCCATGGGACAATAAGGTTGATATCTGGGCATTTGGATGCCTGGTGCGTAGCCGTATCCCGGTATTGTACTTTTACCCGCTGACTGTATCAATCTTCAGATATTCGAGCTTATCGTTGGTGGCTCTTTGTTCGAATATAAATCTTATCCGGAATAGTACATGCTCGACGAACTGACGGGGCATCTGTGGCAAATGCTCTGCTTCACATGCGAGCAAGTAAACTCAAGCAAGCTTGGGGCTCAATACTTCGACCTCACTGTTAAACCGAACGACATTGACAATCCATTCTGTTTGTCTTTCTGTTTGGTTACAGTTGTTGCATACTTACGCAACAAACCCAGGTGACCTGAAGGCACATCCGCCCGTATTTAATAACCCTTTCTCCAGGTCTCTTAGGAACTACAAAGTGCTGCAGGAGGCAGATGTCCTTACAACAGCAAAGATTATCCAGAGGTGTCTCGGGTTAAATTCGAAGGACCGAGCAACGGCAACATTAAGAAATGCACTTTGGGTATTGGTCTTGTACCACGATATGACAAAATGAGAATATCGATGAGATGGCCGAGTGGTTAAGGCACCAGACCAAGACACCGGGACATCGAGGCGTAATAGCGCTGAGATGTCCAGGTAATCTGGTCCGAAAGGGCGTGGGTTCGAATCCCACTCTCATCACACTTTTTGAACAATTTTTTTTTGGAGATGATCACACAGTAACACTTTTATGCACCCATCTATTTGATTGCCATAGGCTATGGATCCCTTTAAACCTACAGTTATCTATATATTTATTTATTTATTTTTTAAGGGCATCATATTAAGCCATGCAGGTAGGTACAATACAAAGAGCTACATAGCGGCCACATAAAGGGGAGTACGCATAAAAAGGGGACAAATGAGGCCCGTGGAGCACGTCGGCATTGTACACGACTTCTATGTCTGACGACCAGGTCCGCACGAATGGGGGGACCCCGGTATAGGAAATACACAAGGGGCACGGGGAAATGCCCAGACGGAAAGCTAAGGAATAATGTAAAATAGGAGGGGACTAACCCAAGACCATCCCATGGACTTCGTTCCTCTTCTTCTGTTTCTTATCTGCACGCTTCGAGGTGACGCGTGTACGTCGTTCTTCCTGCAACTTGGCCATCTTCTTCTCGTCGAATCGAGCCAGGAAGAAAGGGCACTCGCAGCTTACCGCCGAGTGCACTCCTTTGCAATTCACACACAATAGGGGGAGGGGGGCTGCCGTCGTCACGACGACATCATGGGAGATCGTATCGTGATTCCCGGCGCATCGGGCCTACAGTTATCTAAGTTGAATATGAGAATATCCTCTGCTCCAATTGCCAAAGCTCATCCATAATTCCGCTGTCCTGGACTTTTCAATCTGAGCGCTTTATTCGGATTGAATACATTGATCTAGTGAAAGACTCCGAAATGGTGATTCGCGTCGCGGTGGCTCTGCTAAACCAGTTGTTGCGCGCTTGCACTTCTTTTGAGTCCGGGTCACCCAAGTCATGGTCGGCATTATCGGGCATGGAAGACTGGGATGGTGGAAAGGCGATAAAGTCCTTTGGCGGGGCAGGTCGCGTCCTGCCCCCTCACATGAGTTCAGTCACTGGTCACTGGGTCTGGTCTTTTCCCACATCCCCTCAAGGCTCCACAATGGCTGCGCCGTCTCAAAGTGTCGAGGAGGCTCTTCAAGACGCATTGAACCATTCAACGCCCGCCCAAATGCTCATCGAGCTCATCAAAGCGCATCCAAAACGTACGACCATCCTCGATCTCATTTCACTTTATACGGTGCTTGTTGCCGAGCAACCTAACCAAGTTGATAAACTCGCCGAAGCTCTCGCAGAGGTCAAAAATTCGAAAGTGAAAATAGACATCACGGATAATCTCGGGAGGCCGGCACAGCTCGACATCGAACCTATTTTTGTGCGAGAGCTTGCTGACTTCCTCAGTGGGGATCTCGCAAACGACATCGACACATCTGTCACTCCGTCGAACGATTACCTCATCGCTTCCCTTCTATCTGCGGCATCTAGGAAGCACCGTCTAGGTGAATCGCCAGCCCAAGTTGGTTCTGTTCTTCGCGGGCTTTACTACAGCGACAGGGAACACGGTGATGCCGATCCAGCAACGTTCGAAGTTCTCGTTCTAGGAGCATGCCTTCAGCTCCTTGCATCAGGATCCTATCTTTATGGCCCAAAAGGCATTCATTTCGGAAAAATTGATGTTCTTTCTGCGCTTCAAGCGGCCAAAGAGGAAGGCGTCGTAAAAAATCCTAATGGTCAAGGACTACTTGAGGTGTGTAAAACGATTTGTTTTCATTGTAATGTCTAACTCCGAGGTGTTATTATTAACTAGGCTACAATTCAACAGGCAAAATCAGATTTTAAGCAAGACATCGACAGTGCCTGGAATATCTTATTTCCGCAGGAGCAGTGACAGTGCCCAGCGTCAGTGTTGTCTTTCCGCGGCGTAGCCTTTTACTAGTGCATAGTTCGATTCATGCATATATTTCTTGAATCCTCCCACAATACCACACATTGTCTTCCTATAGTCAACGTCAATACGCCATATGTAAAAAATGTCGTTCAATAGAAAGGCCACAAGCTCTCTTCGACGATATCGTTCGTCAAACAGTGGAATCTATATCATTGCGCGCGGCTTGCTAGTTTCCGCCCAAAAAGCTGGGTGCTCCAACCATGCACCGCATCTCCCGGGAGCCCGCCACCTTTCCGACGAGCAAGGTTAATTACACAGATCTCCAAGCCATAATCTTTTCCACAATACCCTTCATTGCAGGACGCCTCACCGCTTCCTTCACCCAACATCGCTTAATCAACTTCCACTCCTCATCACTCAAAGGCGGGTTTTCCAGTCGAGGTGGACGCTTCCCCCGAGAGACAAGCTTCACGATTTGAATCTCATGCGTACCCTTGAAAGGTATAGTGTCGAACTGGATCTATACATTCACGCGTTCAGCGCCTAATTCGACAAAGGAGGCACAACGACTGGCGCACTCACCTCGTAATACAGGCAACCAAAGGCATAAACATCCGATTTTTGCGTCCTTGTGGTCAATTGCTCATCATCGTCTGACTCTGAAACATCTTCCTCTTCATCCCAGTTTCCGAGTAGCTCAGGTGCCGCAAAGTTGTAATGCAACGCTCCCGCTTTCGTGATGGTAGCTTCTGAATGTCTAGTTAACCCAAAGTCGGCGATTTGAGGGTGGAAGTGAGAGTCCAGAAGAATGTTGTCCTGGTAAATGGGAAGGTATGTAAGCATCTAACCAGGCGGGTTGAGGTGGACGTACGCCGCAGAGGTCACCATGAACTATGCCCTCTGAGTGAATATATTGGATGCCTTCGGCTACTTCTAAAATCTATAAAGATTGAGCATTGAATATGAGCAGTCGAGCGAAATCCGCACAAGTCTTTGAACCTCCGATGTTGAAAAACTAGTCTTCTTTCTCCACTGAGAAAGAGTACCGTTCTCCATGTACGGTGACACAAGGAACATGAGAGAAGCTGATTCATCTTCAAAGATCCCAAGAAATGGCAGGACGCGTTCATGATTTAGAGATCGCCACATCAACGCTTCTCGACAGAAATCCTATCAAACAACGATCAGCAATCGGTATCCGTTCAAGATAAGCGAACGACTTGCATCGTTATGACGAGTTTTGTATAACAGTTTCAGCGCGACGGCAGCTCCTTTGAGCTCTCCCTTGAAAACGAAACCAAATCCTCCGCGACCGATGCAATCATAATCAACCTTGGCGTTAATCCCATTGACGAACAAAGAGCTGGGTGTGACAGGCGTCTGTGTTATCATTTTCAGCATCAACCGCCTCGCGCGACGGTTCGCATCTGGTACTTCGGAACATGACAAATAGCCACCGCATAGCAAATAAAGCATAAAATCGAGCAAAAGCTCAGTGTCGGATTCACTGGTGAGTTGCAAAGCCGAATTGACATAGTTCTTCGTTGTCAAGAGTGAGCGTGCGAGGTCGATTGTCGCTACATTGACGACACAGCCGATAGGTAATCCTGGCTTATTAATATTTAGCGAGAAGTATATACTATTCAGCTTGCTTATATACCTTTTTCTCTCGTAAGATGGTGAGCAGCGATAGTTGGGGATCTAGCTGCGCTTGGACCTCTGCATCTGCGTATACCTTCAAAGTAATATTAAGGTTATATTCTGCATCGTTCGTACCTAACCTACCTTCGTATGGATATCTCTCGTCTGTATGTTTTTGTCTACTTTGCTTACTGCCGCGCCCTTAAGTTTGATTAGTCTAGCTAATCGAAGAATATAGTGTCATGACGTGCCCCTTGAGATACACGTTCAAAGGCAAACTGCGGCCCGTTTATTCCGCGATGATCCTTCGAAATTTGGACTTGGGCACTCGGAGAAGTCAGCGACTCTACTATTTTCTCCATCGTCCAACGGTCGGAAGGCTTGGCGGACCAACAACTCTGGATTATATCCCATATATTGTCGTCGATTGTCGGATTCTTCAATCGATCTGGACGTGATCCACTCGTGACGAGGCGAGGAATTTGATATTCACTTCTTCCTAAAAAAGGAAGGGTATCGAAAAATATCTACACGAGTTATCACCAAGCGTTTACAATGTCTTGAGGTACTACTCACCGCGTAATAAAGGCAGCCAAACGCATATACGTCTGTCTCCTTCGTTTTCCTGTTGCCTTTCGGCGCGTCATGATCCGTACGGCATGTATCGCAACTGGTCCCGCCACACTTGTCGCAAGCGCCAAATAGCTCTGGAGCAGCAAAATTTAACGAGCTTGGCGAGGCAGCTTGCGTAAAGGTGGCGTCAAGATGACGAGTTAATCCAAAGTCGGCGATTTGGCAGTGGTAATTGGCATCAAGAAGTACATCGTCCTGGCGGACAAAGAAATGAACAAGGTAACGAAATGGGCATTAAAGTACGCACCCCTTTCAAGTCTCCATGTACGATCCCTTCTGTGTGAATATATCGAACGCCTTCGGCTACTTCAAGCATCTAGCAGATATCAGGGATCTTGTTCAACAACCTGACAAGCATCAGAAACTTACCAGCTTATGTACATTAGCCACGTCTGGCGGCGGTTGACTCTTTCTCCATTGCGTTAACGTGCCGTTCATCATGAGCGGCGAAACGAGAAATTGCTGTGATTTTTCTTCAAAGATTCCTGTTAAAGGGAGGATAAAATGATGGTCGAGCGATCGCCACGCTAGTGCTTCCAGACAGAAATCTTTCTTGCGCGTACCCTTACCAAATAGGTCAGTTTTGTTGGCACGGAAAATGGTAATGGCTAACCTCTTTGTCCAGCATTTTTAGCGCAACGTGATGTCCTTTGTGTTCACCTTTGATAACACGTCCATAGCCGCCAAAACCAAGGGTGTCACGATATGACTCAATCTTAACGTCGGCAATAAATAGGAATTTGAGTGTGACATCTGTCTTGGATATCAATTTGAACATTAGTCTCCTTGCCCTTCGGTTGGCATCTGGAATGCCGGAATCCAACAGGCTGCGACTACGGAGCGCCTGTAGAAAGTAAGCAACTCTATCAAACAACTAAATCTCAAGTGGACGAACATAGAGGATGAATTCGATCAACAGCTCGACATCGTTCACGGGATCCTTCAGT